AGGCAGACCATGGAACACTAAAGGAACTTGCAAGTTGAAGTTGTGGGGCAATGGAGAGGATGAGTAATTAAGGAGGAAGTCAGTCTGCAGAGAAGAGAATAGAGCAGGTACACACAGAGGAGCAAAAGCCACAACTCACGCATTCCCTAAGAGCTGCAGAGAGTGAATCAGTCCTTATCTTCCCAGTCTCCACTTTTAAGTACCCAAGGGTACTTAATTCCTGTCTTTGGGTTCTCAAAAATTTCTTCATATCCTTGCAATTCACTCTTCTTTGACCTGGGCTAGTTTAAATATGATTTATTCCCTTCTCCTTGAAAAATAACTGCTCTCTAACTGGGATATGCAAGTTTTCCAGACAGAGCGGAGTAGCAGATAGTGATAAGCAGCCTTAATCCTTCGCATGACACGTTTCTTTAAAAAAGTCTGAAGTGCAGATGAACAATGTTTCCCCTTTGTTGAGCTTTTCCATGTTCTAAGAGATAAAATTCTTCTTTTTTGGTGCTCATCTTAACAAATGAAGACATTAGTCATTAGTTGAAGAGTATGTATATTCATTTGGGAAACAAACATTTATTGAGCATCAATGCTGTGTCAGACCCTATTTCAGGAACTGAGTGAAAGAAGTTAATGAGACATGTTAATTTGGAAGTCCTTAAGATTTCCCATAAGAGAGACAGGTATGTCTTAAAGGTAGTCTAGTACAAGCACTAGAAACCTGCTCAAATTAGCTTCAGAGAAAAGGAGGAACTATTATTAGGTTGGTGCAAAAATAATGGCAGTTTTTACCATTAAAAGTTATAGAATGATAAATGGATATTTCATGGATGTAAACCTAAGAAGAACAGCCAGATCTTACACAACTGCAAACAAAATTAAAAGAACTAGAACAATCTCTCTCTGTGTCTCTCTCTTTCTCTGTCTGTCTGTCTGCCTGTCTGTCTCACGCATGCACACTTCAGTTTCTTGGTCTCTCATCTCTGTCTCTGCTTTTCATAAGCAATGCAGATTGGCTTTTTCTATACTCATTAAAGAAAATGAACAGGCCAGGCATAGTGGCTCACTTTGGGGGACTAAGGCAGGAGGAGCCCTTGAGGCCAGGAGTTCCAGACCCAGCTTGGCAACACAGTGAGACCCTGTCTCTATAAAAATAAAAATTAAAAAATTAGCTAGGTGTGGTGTGTGTGCCTGTAGTACCAGCTACTCAGGAGGCTGAGGTAGCAGGATCACTTGAGCCCAGGAGTTCGAGGCTGAAGCGAACTGTGATTGCACCACTGCTCTCTAGCTTACACAGCGCAGCAAGACCTTGTCTCAAAAAAAAAAAAAAATGGTTGTACAAAGTGAACACAAATTTCCATTCCATGTGATCAGCAAAGATTCTAGAATCTCTATACCATGAATATAAATCCTTAAGAGAAAGAATCCTATTGATCGAGTTTGGTCAGGTGTATTGCCTTACTGACAAGGAGGCAGGATTATGTGACTCACTGACTTCTAGAAGGGAATCATGGAAGACTTCGAGCTGGCAAATCACTTTGCTTGTCTGCCACACACATGAAAACAAGTGAGGCCAGTTAACCGTAGTAGTGCTAGAATCAAAAAATGAATGCGATTCATAGGTATATTGATGGGTCCAGGTAGATAGGAAGCCTGGAATTATTTTATTTGTTTTGTTTGTGTTTAGAAGCATCTCTTTCATCCCCAGCCAGTGCTTAGAGACTTGCGTGTGAGTCAAGCTCAGTGGATTCTGAGCTTTACTCACTCATGTCATGGATCCATTGACTAACATTTCAAGAGTCACTGGTTACTTCATTTCAAATTTATTAGGACTTATGTTGAAGTTCATATTCACCACCCTTTTCAAGTGTAGGGAGAAGAATGTGGAATTGCTAGGAAATTCATTTCAATGTATTATAGCAACTATTAATATTTGTTAGAAATGTATTTATCAGGTATAGGACTAGAGTCTTATAGCAAAAATAGGTAAGATTTCAGAGACCCAGCATTTAAATAAGGTAGAGTATATACATATAACTAAATTTAAGTTACTCTGTAATACATGCAAAAGAAAGGTTATTTGGGGAAAAAAAAATTAGAGGAAACTGGAGCCAAGAAAGAAGAAAGATTAGTTTTCAAAGAAGAAGATAGGGAAGGCTGGGCTTATAATATGAAATTTGACTGGAGTCTTTGAGCAGAATTTTGAAACAATTGAAGAAAAGAGAAAAGCCATTCTAAGTAGAAAAACAACTAAGAAATTGGCAACGATGAACGGGAAAGGCAGGCCAGTGAACGGGTGAATCTGGACTAAACGTAGTGTGCGAGAGGGAAAGATAGGCACAGGGTCTGCAGAGGTGAGCGGGGCCCAATCCTGACCTTAATTTAAATACTAGGGTACTTTGAATGTCCTGAAGACATCCAATTATTTTCAGCCAATCAATCCTGCATTTTAGGATAAGTGTGACAGAGGTATAAAAGAGGAACTGGAACAGGAGAGGAGGAAGCGCAGAGAGATCATTTGGGAAATTGTCTTCGTGGTGAAAGATGAAAAGGCTTTGAACTAAAGAGAGTAGCAGTGAAACAGGAAATAGGAGATGGCACAGAAAACCCAAGTAGGGGTGAAGACGGGATCGTATGGGGCGTTGGCAGGAGGCTGGTGGTGCACCTGGGAATAAAGCAGGAAACACCGGGGAAACCCATCTGAGCCATCTCCCCCAACAAAACTCTGTCTTGAGCTAAGGAAAAGAAAAAGAGGGAAAAGCCTCACCTCACCCCTGAGTGCTTTTCAGAGTAGGATCTCTGGGTGTCTCAAGATCCTTTCAAGTGGCCAGTGAAGTTAAAACCATTTTCATAACAATGCTGAGACACTATTGTCTTTTTCATTGCTTTGACATTTGCCCAGATGGTGCAAGAACGAGGATGGGGACTGGTAGTCATTGCATTCTTCATCACTGGGCACTCACAGGAAGAGAAAGGGAGAGGGCAGCAGGTCAATGAATTTGAATGCCGTGGAATAGGAAAACCCATTGATATGGTTTCAGATTCCACATTGCAACTTTAAGAAACTACCACTTGTTGAGTTTTGGTGTAGTATCAGAGGATTATCCAGAATTCCCTCCTCTCTTTCTAAGTCCATATCTGTGCAACACGAGATGAATCAATATAATTTCACCAAAACTACATGCCACAACAGATGGGATGCAGAAGCAGATCTGAGAATCCAAATGTCTGTCTGTAAGCCAGATATTTAAAATATTAGTAAAAACGTAAAGAAATGCCACTCTTCTCCTGGATTCTTTCATTTGAAGAAATATAGTTATTTTTCATAAAATATGTATTACTTATGTTCACACGTAATAGACTTTTTGTTAAAGAATTTACTGAGTAAAAGGCTCTTGAGTTTGAGAAGTCCCAGCTTAACCTTCCATATTTCCTGCTCTGAATGCGGTACCCTTCACAACTGCACCTAGGCAGGAGAGCACCTCAGAAGGGATTCTCAAACTGCTTTATCTCAGGAACACTTTATCCTCTTAAAATAAATGTGACACAGGAGTTTGTTCTTTGTTTCTTAAAATTTTTGCCTGGCTCTGGAAAGTTATAGCTCCTGATTTATCTGCACTTCATGCCAGTGTAAGGTTAATTTGTCCAACATTAAGAACAAAAACCAAGAAGGATGCATGTTACTTCCCCCCACCCCCAGAGATAAAGCACAAATTCCTGTCTCACATTAAAGGAACTGTCCTGCCTCCCAAACCCCGTCTGTTCCAAACACTTACTCACATTTCAGTGACTCACAAGGAAACAGACAGATATTCATCTCCCTGAAACCTGGCTCACTTCCTTCAGAAAGTCTGTGAGGAGCGTCAAAGTTGTGTCAGGGGTTAGTGAGCGGCCACCTAAGAGCTCTCAGTGATAGCTGGAGTTTTAGTAAGCAGGTGACTCCTGCAGACAGGTCAGAAAAAAATGCCTTCAGGTGTTTGTCAAGGTGAGTAAGTAGAGCCAGTAAATGACAGATAAGAAAACAGGAAAGAGCCTGGGGCTATATAATTTGGGTTCAAAGGTTTTAGTCATAACCCGTCAGCAGCAACATCTGATCCATACCAATTTAATACTTTAACAATGAGACACTTCGGCCCTATCTATGGTAAAGAAAAGCGCTTGATTTTCATGAATTATTAAGTCCTTCCCACCTTGAGCCACTTTGCTTCCTAGAGGCAGTATCTCAGACACCCCATTCTGCTCATAGTAGCATTCCATGAAGATCTGGAACGATGACAATTATGATTATTAGACTCATAACTCCTTAAGCTTGATTTATGAAAACATTTGGTTTCTTCGCAAAAGTAGTCACTGGAAGAATTCTGGTTTCCGCAATGTGCTGGGAAATTTGCGGCTGAACTTTGGGATAAAATATAAGATTTAGAGAAGAAAAATGAATTTCCTATTTCTTAGGTTTTTAAGTAAAAATCTTGGATATAGAGTGTTCTCTTTCCAGATGTGAGGCTGAAATAATGGAAGAAAATGGTCACAGTCTATGTCACGGTGTAATATAGGGAGGGAGAGTCACAGTGCATGTATGGGCTCTAAGCCTTCTCTCTGGCCTTGAAGTAAATCTCCTAAACTCGGTAATTAATCAGCTCTTTAATATCTCCAGGAGAGGAAGTAATGATGATCTCTCTCTCTCTCTCTCTCTCTCTCTCTCTCTCTCTCTCTCTCTCTCTCTCTCTCACACACACACACACACACACACACACACACACACACGCACATACACACAGCTCTTGCAGCAGGTATTGCTTAAATATCACCTCGGATAATCATAACCTGTGAGCGGATCTTCTTTCCTGATGAGTTAACTTCTAACCTGGTCATTCTGCGCTTATTTTTGTCCCTTTTTCCACCCACTTAGGAAAGAGAGAAAGCGACAGCACCACACAGACCTTAGGCACTGTGGTTTAGGGCTGGTGCCCTCGGCGCCCGCTGCCAGGAGCCAGGCGCTGCCGAGGGCTGTGGTGGGGCTGGGTCCTCCCGCATCTCCTGCGGGCTGGCGACAGGCTGCGGGGGCGGGTGGTGTTAGGGCGGGCGGTCGCCCGTCGGAGGTGCCCACCCGTCCCGTCCAGGGCAGGAAAGCCTGCCAGGGTGCCATCCCCATCCCCACCGCTTCCAGGCTGCCGGGGCTGGGCGGCTGTACTGGAGCCAAGGTGCGGTGCCCCGGGCGTGGACTGGCGTAGGTGCAGCCCGCGGGGCCGCAGGGCAGGGTGGGGCGGGGCGCGGCCGGGGCAGATCCGGTGTTTGCAGAATCGGGAGGGGCGGGCCAGGGCGGGCCCTCCGCGCTGCAGGGAGCTGCCTAGCAACTTTTCCTTGCTCTCACCGGGCGGGGGAGAGAAGCCCTCCCGACAGCTTCTTGAGTGTGCGGGCTCTCTTATCCCTCGGCCAAGGGTATCCTCTGCAAACCCAGCCCAGCTACGGTCCCCGGGCAGACCCAGGATGGGGCCAGGACTGACAGGGACGGTGCCACTGCGGCTGCGGCTGGTGTTAGTGCTCAGTCAAGGTAAGCAGGGAGTTCGCTACGCAGCGGCTGCAGGAGGGACTCGCGCGGGTCCCGGGGGCGCGCGGGAGGGATTGGGAGCAAGTTCCGTGAGTGTCCCCTCGGATTCCACGTGGACTCGGGCCCCCAGCCATCGGGAGCTGCTTGGAAAGAGATACTTCTTCCTCCCCTTAGTGCTCTCCCAGTCCTCGAGTCTCCATTAGGCGTGTCTCGCCCTGTTAAGCACCCTCCAAAGTCATCTCAGTGGGTGCTTTGGTTTTAGGCACACACACACACACACACACACACACACGCACTCAGGCATGGACAGTGTGGGGATCCCCGGGTGTCCTGGAGCCCGCGGGTGCTGCAGCCCAACTTCCCCTGGCTGGAACAGGTGCTGCGCTTGCCAGGGACCAGGGGAACCCGAAATCCAGTGCTGACGGCAGCCTGCAGCTCCCCAGCACAGTGCTTTGCAGAAGCCTCTGAGCCCCAAAATGTTTATTTTTCAACCCAAGGATGTGAATGATACCTCTGCTTCTTACTTGAGGACAAAGCGCTGTGTTTCTTCCCAGGGGGAACTTGGAATAAACCAAGCGCCACTTAAGTACTTGGCAGAGGGGAATTCTTCCTTCCCTTCTGCCTTCCTCTTATTGTTGTAAGTCGACTATTCGACTAATGTAAACTTAGCCAGGAAAAGTTCTTTCCATTTGTGGATCCTAGATGCCATAATGAGAGAATAAGCCGAGCAGCGGCTCTAACTGTAGTGCCGTGGTGGTGTGGCCCGACCACCTCCTGAGTTCTTTTACACTAAGAGGAGGAAATAAGGCTGCGGTAGGGAGTTTTTGTGGGACTGTCGCGCACACGTGAGTACTTTTTTTCTGACCGTTAGGCAGAACTAGAGTGTCCTCAAGTTTAAGAACTTTAGTTTACTTGGAGGGAGGAGTCACATTTGTATGTTGTAGTTTGAACAGTGATCAAAACAAAAAAAGTCTCTGATTTTAAAGTGTGTGTGTGTGTGCGCGCGCGCATGTTTTCTTTCTTTACAAAGGAGGTAAATGTTTCCTGAGCTGTCCTCCTTTGAGACTGGCATTGAGCCACTTGCTATTCTTTATTGTGGAGGAATGAATCCTAGTCCACGTCAACCTGGTGGCATTTTCTCTAGGTCAGAGATAAGAGAGAAATAGCACCACTGTCCCCAGCCCCAGAAGAGAATGGACATCTTAGGTTTTCTGTCTCACCTGTATTGGGTGCTTCATAGATACTTTCCCTGGGAACGACAAGAGTTGTTTTGAGGGGCCACCAACTCTAATCTAGGGGTTTCAGGTAAAGTTGTACTTGGCATTGAAAATGAGCTAAGAGAAATATAAACCCAAGCTTTTCATCTCTCTGTAATTAAAAGAAGCGATTGAAACATATTACACAACAGTATTAAAAGAAGCTATGGAAACATAACGTCATGTCATTTTATCTCTGAAGTGTTGAGGCTTGTACTTTAAACAGCAGTGAGCAACGCTTTAGTGGAATGTAGTGCTGCAAGGCATGAAGTCAGAAACAGACTTAACCTGACATTAATAAGGACTCATCAGGGCAAGCAAGCAGAGATGATCTCAAACAACATCTGCAAAAGTTTTGTGTATTTATTCCCTCCTCCTGCTCCAGTCATTTGTATACTCAAGGAACAGGTTTTCTCTTAATTTGAGATCATCATAAGAAAACTCTGTCATTTGTGATATCACTTGAGGTTCCTGGAGAAGCAGCATCATTTTTTGATACCATGAGTATCCCAGGTTAACATGCATAAGTGGAATCTCTAGCTCAGCAGTATCTAAAATTTTGTATGGCATTACCCTATCTGTATAAAATCTCTCATTCACTTTCACTACTCACACATGTAACTATTTTTAAATTATATGCATATAAAATTGCATAATATGAACATATACAAAGGTTCAAATTTATAAGTTATGTGTGTGACACAGCTTCATTATGATCTTAAGAGAAAACCTGTTCCTTGAGTATATAATTGTATATACATAGTATACACTCATATACATGCTAATATGCATTAAACGCATGTGTGTTTAGACATCTGGCATCCTCTCCAGCGTGCATGCAAACCACTTTAGAAACATATCACCTTCAAATCTCATTTTAACGCTTACATTCAATTTGCTTTCCAGAAACCTTTTCTCAGGTACTTAAGAAACTGTACTCATAGGTTAGTCCCATATTTATTGCCTTTCATTGCTCATTTTTAAGGGCTTAATATCATGGAAATGGGCAGCTTGAGGATGAAAAAGAGAGAACATCAGAGAACTAGGTAATCTATGACTAAATATAGGCCCTTGGAAGAAAGCATGTGTAATTTTAAAATGAAATATTTTCTTTAGTGTGTTCGCAGGCCGAGGATAGTCCTTCCAGTCAGGTTCTAGATCACATCTTTCTTACCAGCCCTGAAACCCTGCCCCATACTCAGCCCTCATCAGTGCACATCTTCAGATTCTCTCCCTCATGTAACTTCCCCTCAGTCTGTACATATTCTAATTTTTCTCACTGTAAAAAAGTATCTTTTTTAATATTTAATTTCTTCCTGAAACACCCTGCATTTCAGGCCTCTGTTCTCTTCCTGGTTTTCTCCTTTCTTCCCTTCCTCTCCTTCACAGGCTCTTTTCTTGTTGGTGTTTGCAGAGTTTCATCCTGAATCCTCCTCTTCATTCTACAGAGTGTCTCTGGGCCCATTCCCTGCACAGGTCACTATCTCCAGCCAGACTCGCTTTCTGAGCTCAGATCAGTATTTCCATCAGCCACCAAATTTCTCCAGCTAGATAGTCTATAAGTAAGCCAGATTCAACATTTCTGAAACTGAATTTAATTAGTGTCTTCCAAAATTTTCTCCTCTATTGGCTACCATTGTTTAATGGCAGTATAATTATCACAAAACACGAAAGCCAGGAATCTGTCCCTATGTTTTGAACCTCACAGCTACTCTCCAAGTTCTTTTGGTTCTCCTCCCTCCATGCAGCTCCTGCCACCCAGTTCAGTCCCTCATCTTCTCTGTATGTAACTTTTAAACAGGGTTTTCTTTTATTTCTTATCCCTTGAACCTATTCTCTACATATTCACCAATGATATCTTTCTAAGACACTTATATGTATCCAATTACCACTTTGTTTCAAATGTTAGTGGCTCCTCAGCTCATGGAGGATGAAGTGCAAATTTCTTGGCATGTCATAAAAAGGTACATTCTACCTATCTAATCTTTTCTTTACTGTACCCTTTCCTGAACACAAATACACATTCACACACACACACCACACACATGCCCACACATGTAAACACTCTAAAGCTGTCCATATACACCATCCTTTGTTATGACTGCATCTGATTATACCATATTTAGTGTGAAAATATTTTCTAAATACTCCCTTTGCCTTCATTGCATTGTTGCTTTTGCCCCTTTTCAATCGTCTCTAGCATTATCCAAAGCTAGAAGAGACAAGCCCAAGCAAAATTATAAAGCAGAGAAGTTTTACTTTTGTAACAAAAAGGAAAGCTTGAGTAACCTACATTTGCTGGGTCCTACCCTAAAGCACTTCTCTGCTCTCATCCTCAGCCCCTTAGTGGCCTTAGGCCGCCCTCTGACAAAGTAACTTCTCTCCCCCATGGCTTAGCTATACTTGCCCAACCTCAGCTAAGCCTTGCTCTCTTCATACTAGCTCCTGAGCCACTATTCAACTTAAATTTATGGACTAGGGTTCAGGATTTAGTATTTACAATGACTCACATCTTTCTGATGTGCAGTCTGATTTGGAAGAGGTTGCTTAAATATCATCACTGCCTCCCCCACTTTCCTAAAATTAGAATTCCAGTGTTACCCATACCACCTTGTGGGATGACCACCAAGATAGGTAGATTTCAACACCAAGAGTCCGCATCTGTGAGCGGCTGTGTCAGTTAAATGAATTCTTTCCAAAGTGGATGATGACAGCTCCATGTCTTCATGTGCTGACAGCCCTGGGATATTAAAAGGGAGAAGTTTTTTAATGTAAAGAGATGAGCTTCTCATGATGGAATTTTAGATATTCGGCAAAATGAAGACACATGTTCAGTCAGTGAGCATAAAGGTAAGAATTTCAGGAAGAATGAGGAAAATATTCGAGGCCGAAGTTGTCCAGGTGTCATGCAAATTCTATCATTAAAGCCAGAAGTTTTATTTATTATTTATTTTTATTTATTTATTTTTTTGAGATGGACTTTTGCTCTTTGTTACCCAGGCTGGAGTGCAATGGCGCAATCTCGGCTCACTTCAACCTCCGCCTCCAGGGTTCAAACAACTCTACCTCAGCCTCCTGAGTAGCTGGGATTACAGACACGTGCCGCCATACCCGGCTAATTTTTTGTATTTTTAGTAGAGATGGGGTTTCACCATCTTGGCCAGGCTGGTCTCAAACTCTTGATCTCAGGTAATCTGCCCACATCACCCTCCCAAAGTGCTAGGATTATAGGCGTGAGCCATCACACCTGGCCTAAAGCCACAAGTTTTAGTCTTGACTGACTACCAACCCTGCTCAGCTTGGGATATTACTAAATGATTTAGCACAGCTTAAAAGAAGAGAAACCATAGAAGATCGTCACTCTGACTGGCAAGTGAAAGAAATGGAAGGTGGGTGGGGTTATTTTTTTCCAGTTGTTACCAGTGATTTACCAGGAGAACACACAGAAGAATGGCTCTCTACAGGGGAAAGTCCTGGTATTGCAAATCATGAGACAATAGACTCTGTATGACAGTGATTCCCATGCCCCTTCATGTGATCCATAGAGGCTTTATTGATTTGGCTACAGTGAATTTCATAAGACTCATATTTGATCATATTCTTATAAGGTATCTACTTTATATAAGGCTGTGTGTTAGGTTCAAGGTGGAATCAGGGAAAACTTGAAACGTGGTCAAGAGAGGTTGGAGTTTATTTGGAAACAAATCCAAAGATGGGGAAAAGAAATTATCTCAGCCCTGAAGCACA